GGGGAGTGAAGAGCAAAAAAGGAAAGTGGAGGATGATTTCATAAACCAGAGTATGATCACCGCAGAGCTGTTTCCAGACCGCCTGACTTCAGGCCCAAGAACAGGTGGTGTTTTCAAAACACACTATTATTTATATTAGCCACGTGAGTTGAGAACACCTTAAAGAAAACCAATTAATAATTTAATTGAAAAAGTGACTATGAATAATACATGAAGATGATGCTAGCAATAATGCAAGCAATGCGGCACACACCACACAGAGATGTCCCTGGAAATCTCAGGAAAATGAGGGCTCCAGGCCCCACTCCTTACCTGGAAGCAGCAACCCATGGCCCCTCAGATAAATGAAAGACAATGAGAAAGCATTTATGATCCCAGAAAAATATAATTTTGCTGCTTTGTTTTAACTTTTATTAACAGGGGCCAACCTTGTAATCTGGTGACATCATCAACCTGTGGGCCTACATTTAAATATCTTCAATAAAATAAAAACTGGACAGCCCAAAGAACCAGCTATAAAATACTCTGGAAGGCTGAGGAGGTGCTGGGAACAAGGTCCTGAGGGGATCTGTCCTGATGCTGCCAGCGTCCCAAGAAGCAGACACTATAGCCCACTTCCTGCACCTCGGAGGCCTGACAAATAGAACTACGCGTGACCCAAGGTCCCTTTCCTTTATCTTAATCTGGCACCAGCTACATACATGGTGAGGCCTGGTCAAGCTTGCCTTTGTTACAGGCAAAAACTGAACAGGTAATCCACAGGCAGGTACTCTATGGTCTCCTCCATTATGAATACAAAGGACTGCAGAAAAGCTGGAGTGTTACCTCTACTAAAACTTATTTTCATCATTAACAAAAATAATACCTTTTCAGAGGGAATTTGCAACTTTTACACTTACAAACGGAATCAACAGTTTCTCTGAAATGCATGTTGCACATTCTGTCCTGGAAGGCCCTGGCTCTTCTGAGGGCAGCTGCCTGCCGATCAGCCCACGGCCTACACAGCAGGGACAGCCCACACTCTCGCCGCCCTGTCCTGAACGCTGTTGACAAATAAACCCACTCTCAGAGAAGGCAATTCCTCCCTTCCAGTTCTCCATAACTAGTCTCATCTCATCTGGAAAGCGTAATTGGCAACAGCCGAAAGGATAAATATTTAAAACTAAATCAGGGAATGCTAACCCCTTCCCTACTCCTCCCCTTACTCTCTCCCCGAGCCAGAGGCCAGCCCCCCTAACGCTTAGCTGGCTGGTAAATTACAATGATCCCAACCGAGCTAACTGGCTTGTCTCTCCACATACACACTCCCTCTCCAATGCTGTATCCTTTCGCTTCAGCAAAGGTAAATATGATCTCTGGGCTGAGACACAGTGAATGTCAGCATTCTGACTTCACACTAAACCCGGGCTCTATTTTCACAGCACAACTGGGTTTAGGCGGATTTGTGTATTCTTCCAGATCCTTCTATTTTTATTAAATTATATATACACATTGATTTTAAAACTAGTGCTTAAATAACCTTGAGGCTTTAACAAAGAAAAAAGCTGGGGGAGGGGGACAAGTCCCTGAAATAAACATGGGAACACTTGGAGCTGAATGCCCCGATATCACCCATCATTTCTAGGCAGTTATATTTAGGGGCCTGGTACCCTAAATTTTGGGTGGCCAGGCCCTCCTGGGTATGGGACAGAATGCAGGCTCTCCTCAGAACCCACACTCCCCCTCCATAACCTTCGAAGGCTGCTGTGCCAAGGCCTACACACAGATGTTTTGATTCACATTTCTCTGATACAAACCTCAAGGCCTCCATCTATCGCTACAATGCTAATTCCATAGATTAATTTTTACCCCCAAGTCGTAGGTGGAACATTATCTAGCTTACTTACCCACCCCTCCCTAGCTCAGACCCTAAATCTGTCAGTGACACACATAAGAAACTCACAAATGAGGAACCATTTTTTTAAAAGCTGTGACTGGAAAGAGCTTTTCCAAATTAATTTTAAGTTACAAAGCCCAAGTTTTAAGAAAAGCAAAAATAAAGACCTTGTCTTAAACTAGCTTTAAAACATTAGGTAAAGAGCTTTCTCTCTTTCTTTTTTTTTTTTTTTAAACTAAAATATTATTTCTGAAAGGGCAAAGAGAATTTGCCATGCAAGACTTTTATACCCAAGGGGATTCTTACATTTGTGTTTCTAAACCTTGAAATTGAGAATTTTAATGAAAAGGCAGACAGATGCTTAAGGACAGCATCGCAATCAGGGTCCATACATTACAGGAGAGGGACTCTTTGTTTGGGGCCAGGGGAAGGAGGTGGATTCCATCCCCACTGTCTGACACATCCCTGTGCACTGGGCCTGACACCACTGAATTCTTGGAGGGGAAGCAGGTTGGAGGCAGAAGAAAGGAAAAAGGAAACAGGAGAGGAAAGAAAGGGGGGAGGGGATATGGCCTCTTTATATAAATCTTGTTTTTTTAAAAAAAAAATCTCAACACAGCATCAATTCCACAGTATGTGCCAACAATTCCCCTACACATGCATTAAAACAATCAATTAAACGATCTACCAGGAACACGATAACCAGGATCAGATTTTTTTTTTTTTCTAAATGAAGAATTTCATTGGGGTTTGCAATTCTTTCCCGTCAAGCGACCACTTCTTGGGGCAGGATTCTAAGAGATAAACAAAAGATGACCCTTTTCACACTCCCCCCCAAATGATTCTGGAGTCCCATTTTCTTATCTTTTTTATTGTAGTTGCATTTCTGTGTGAAATCTGTGCTAATCTGCCTTAGGAGCTCCGAGCTGAAATTTCACATATCCTCCAAGTCAGCCAGTGTTTTAGAATTTGGATTTCTATTGAGGCTGCTCCAATCGCCAGTGAGGCCTACGGTAAAATGTGCTTCATGCTGTTCCGTTTG